TAATCTCACGAGCGGAGTGGAACTTCTACCTGGGAAGCCGTCACTCGAGGAACATGACATGGCTTCCGTGACCGAGTGGGAAGCGACGCTATATCTTGTCTAAGTGAATTTGCGTTTGACAGGAAGTGGACGGGATAAAAAGTAATAATAGATTAGACATTTTAATCGGAGGCACATTCTTCCCTTGAGAGAATTGTGGCATCACGGTGAGATGTTAGAGGATGATTTATCTTCAACCCTATAAAGTAACAATCTATAGTTTAAAAAGATCCTAAATTGTAAACTACGCAGTGAGTAGAAAGTAACTGACATGTGAAATGGATGAGCAAGAAAATTCGAACATCTAATGAGCATAGGTGGGCACGCGTACCACTGAGTCTACATGCAGATATTCGGGTGAGATAGTCCAGCGGTGAGGATCATCATCACTAGAGACGAGAGCGAAAGTTAGAGCTCCAGCGCCGACTACAGACAGAGTCTCAATGTGACGTGACTGTTCGCGGACCTCAGCCAAACTGCAGGATGCCCATATAGCACTCAATGAGTCTCACTCACCGGATTCAGCAGTGGATAGAGACCCGATGAACACAGTCTCCTGACCCTCCAGTTTGGATAAAGTACGGAAATTTTGAAATCATGCCAACTGTGTTAAGCCAATCACCTGCATCTTACAGTAAGGTTTTTAGGTTTTAGTTCCCGATAGCGTACCACCGAAAGCTTTGACAGAGGATATACTGAAAGATTAACAATGTGACACACATCCACTGAAATCCAGATGTCAGCTGCAAGTAGGCGGTTGAGCTCCCAAAATAGCTGCTAATTTTCTCAGCACTCGTTAACAGGCTTCGAATGCTTTCTAAATACACATTTGAAAATTCTAGTTAGCCAGTTACTTGCTGTATTGTGTTCTTCAGCCGCTTAATGTTTGACCGCGAATAGCTTTTTTCATCTGTCCGAAATTTCAACTAATCAACCCATGACCAGAATGATACTGTGTTTGGCTGCGTTCCCAAGGATCAGGGATTCAATACACTTTCCTACTGTCAGATGTTTGACTCCATTCTAATGCGAGATCCTTTTCCATTGCTAGCCTCGCATAAACTCTGAAAAAATGCATATACAAAGATCATATCAGAGCAGAGAATAAAAGGACTTTCGACTGCATACGCTGCCAAAAGCTGCTTTACAATTCAGCTGAGGGGGCGTTAGAACAGGGCATTGTGTTGTAGATCAACAGAAGCGAGAGAACCGAATGAAGTTCAGCTGAATCTTCAGTGAACACTACTTTCATCCCTAAATGAATGTTCATCTACAAATACTTCGACTCTATTGTTTAAAATGATCAATAGACTTTTGGGACCTGGAAACATCTAATAGGCCCAAAAGAGGAGAAATCTGTAGTGGAAACTTCAGAGCGTTTCATATGAAAGAGGATGAGTAATATGTTTTGTTACGTTATACGTATTTGGATAAACACATTATGCCTTCGGGTGCCAGGAAGAATGCATTTTCGTGGAATAAGTTGAGGAACCTGGAAAGGAGTTTATACAAAACAAATTCAGAAAATATACTCATCTGCCTACAAGGCTGATTTTGACGATATACTTACCTAGAGATCGGCTGAACCCCCCCCCCTCCCCAGTTTATGACGTTTCTGATCAACTGAATGTGTTGTAGCAGGCCGCCTCAAGTTTTATTCTGTACGATATTTCATTTGTCGTAATACGTTATTTGAAGTACTACACTACTCATAAGGTTGTCGAAAACGGTTCGATAGATCACAACTGGTTTCACCCTTCTTGGGGTTCATCAGGTACCTACCGAAATATGAGGCGGCCTGGTGCAGCAGACTTCGTTGGGGAAAAATTTCACAAGCAATTAATTTAGCTCGTCTCCAGATAAGTCTCCTGTCAAGACTGAATGGGTATGCAGATAAGTGTATACGTCGATTTCCGTGCAATTTGGGTCCAAGTAGAACATAAGGTCGGCGGAAGTTCGGGGACTCAACGTACCTGATGACCCCCAATAAGGGTCGTAGGTTGTCGAAGAGTTTTGGCAAACTTGTGAGTAGCATAACACGTCTATGCAAATTTCACATACTTGAGCATCGTGTGACATTTCTATTGCAGGTGTTCAACTCCAATATCATATACAGCGCAGAAAAGACAAATTCTTATCAAAATAACAGTTCTGGAAGGTATGGTTTCCAAGAGTGAACAAATTGAACTTTGTTTGGCTCAAAATCTATTTGTGTTGACTAAAGACAAGTTCCCGCGAACTAAAACGGCGACGGCAATTGGAGCTCTTCAAGGTAGCATTATATTTCTTTTGAAATTCATAGTTATTTTTAAAGTCGAAATCTGTCACTGAATTTTGACCTTGGTAATGCCACAAGCTTTTTTCCAGGAATTCTTTGGTGCAGTATTTTCATTTTTTTCACCACACTGTTTGATTTCTTAAATTTGTCACAAACGGAAACATGGTACAACCGTCTCGCTCTCAGTGGTTACCACCTTGCAAATCTCTAGCCGAATTCGAACCCTCCAATTTTCGGATAGTCGTTGACATCCTGGCCATCAGCGCTTGATCAACAGTGTGGATAACCCGCGCTACACATCCCTCAAACACCGAATCCATATCACGCAATCACGTGTTATCTAGCTCCTCGAGTGACTACTCTTCAATCGTCATGTGAATTTTTCTTTCCCCCGAACTACTTACTATTTGTTAATAGTGTCAGGAGAGCTGGAAAGTTCCTGTAGGCGAGGCAGTCTAAACCGATGCGTCGAGAATCGCCACTTAATCGCTCGTGGCCGAACCGCTACCGGCCATGAAGTCACCAGTTTGAATCTTCGTGGTGACTGGTAAGATGGGCACTGCTGAAGATTTCTAATGAGGATGAAGCAGCTGTAATGTGCTTCTCGGTTTTTTCAGAAGGGTTTGACCCATCCATTATCAAATCTCCTCTTAGTACCAACCAAGAAACATTGTAATCCAGCAGGCCTGCCCTTGTTCTAGCTTCTTCCGGTAGTAAACTATATTAGAAGTTAGATAATCAATGAAACCGTTTATACGATCCAGGCATAAATCATTTATTTCAGTTACCGCTTAGCCCTTTCCTCCGATTAATCACTTGGAAGCTAGTAACTGGAGTGATTTCTTTTTAGAAATTGGGTCAGAGGCAGGTTTCGGGAAAAGTACGTCTGCTCGCATACCACAGACAATCAGAGTATTTAATGAACCTGATCAGGCGGTAACTCGTTGAAAAGAGTGACATTTAGGTCTGCCGTCAAGATTCAGATTTAGAAAACTACTTTCGAAACACTGAAGTAGGCCACCATCAATCCTCCAATTAGATGACGCGACTGAAGGTCATCCTTTCAGGTCCTCTCCGGTTGGTGCATTAATCTCTGCCGTGAGCACAACATAAAAGGTTAGTTTCAGTTTGATCACCAACCTTTTTTTTAATTTCCGTAACCACTGAGGAGAAGAAAATGCATTTGGATGCAGGTAAACTCCACGTTATTGATCGGAAAAAATACGGCCTTGCCCGCGGAGCTGTCTGTTAACCAACTACGTCAGTAATTAGGACAGAATGTCTATTTCATGGCATAAACGGCCAGACCGGACATGCGTAGGACGACAAGACAGTGACATTTCATCTTCAATGACATAGTTCTGACAATCATTTTATATCATACAAAACTTAAAGGTCAACCGAAGAGAACCACAACTTGTGTGTGAGAGAGAGCGGATAAATTGGACGCGGGCTGTTTTGTTCTAAAAGCACCAACAAAATGGCCCCTTATGAGGAAATATCTGCCAATTGTGGAACGGTATATTTCAGACCATGGCAAGAGAAAGCCGCCTACGAACAAAGTCTACTAATCAGCTTGACCGTGCAAATTAATGAGGCACCCTGAAGCTAGTCTGGACACGTTCAAAGCCCGTCAGTCAATAAGCCAATCAAATTCCGGGAAATCGATCATCTGGGATGGATGCTGATGGATGCACACACTGCGTGGACTAAAATTCAACTTGAAAATTCGTAAGGACAAACGTTTGCCTACTAAAGCAGCACAGCAAATGAACGTCAGATGAGGTTTTTTCTGCTTTACTCTTCCAGGCTGGGCTATTTAGAACACTGGGACATGTTTCTCAACTGTTGTTGTGTGTTGGGATACATTCTTCTAAATGAGTGGGAACTTAGTCAGGTGACCAGACTGCTTGTACATAGTCTAACAAGACGTTTTAACTATCCCTAATTTCTTACAGTGGATCAACGAGTATGTTGGGCTAGAGTTTATCAGAACCATTGTAACTTCTATGGAACTAGATGCCAGCCATTCATTTAGAGGTGGTGTGGTTGGTTACCAGGGTTCTTTAAACGGTGATGTAAGTCTGTTGATGGTACAAGAAGCCATGGGAACTTTTCAATGGAACTTTTTATTGCAAGCAACTATGTTTCTTGGTTGGTGCCATAAGGGGATTTGACAGACTATAAGTCAGACTGTCGAAAGGCCAAAAAACCCTATACAGTCATTTCATTCCCATTGAGAAATATCAGGTACCTTACAAATCTCCAACGGAGATCAAATCCACAAACTCCCCGCTGGTACATAAAAACCAGAGGGCTCACCAACGAGCGGCAGTATGATTAATCCGGACTTAAATGGGAACTAGCCCCACTCATCCCTCAGCCACATAAGTCACATCACATTGTCACATTTTAACTGACCTCCCAGATATAAGCGTAAGTACCATTCACATGCTCTTCAGCGCGGTAATCTTTAGCTAAATCCCCTGTGGATCACGTGATGTACTCGATTTGGGGTACAAGATAGAGAAATAAACAAGAAGTATTTGATTTGTTGCGACTTTACTGATTCGGTTGGATTAATACTCTGAATATTACAAAAGTGCCACACCAAACCTTCAAGCACCCGACACAATCACGTCAGCCGAAGCAACTGTAGGGCAGAAGCTTTATTGGTTGTTGGTCAGGTGGCTGTTGATCTGTTCGCCAAGCTTGGCAATTGCCTTGCAAACGTTTCGTCCGCAGTCAAGAAGACATCGTCAGAGTCTGCGCACTGATGATGTCTACCCGTATGGTGACAAGACGTTTTCAAGTAAATTGCCAAGCTCGGCTAACAGGTCAGCAGCCACCTGATCAACAACCAATAAACTCACTCGAGCTACCAATATCTCAACACATTACCGGCAAGAGCTTTAAATATAGGCTGGCATGCTAACATCAGTCTGAAATGAAAAGTTGTGGCCTCCGAAAAAGAAATTTTAAACTTGAAGCGCAATTTTTTTGAGGCCAAATTGACCTTAGATGGCTTGAGAACTCCGAGCTCGGATCGAAAATGTTTGCAACAAAGCGAAAATGGGTCGCCCACGCGTTAGAGTTGGGGGAAACAAATCGAGATATTGTCCTCGCGGAAAATATCATTGGATGATCTATTTCCACGCACTCTTATACCAACTAACTTCGACATTACTCGCGTGTGTGTGTGTGTGGCCTTCAAACTAGCCTGAATGTTACTGGGTTCGGTCCTGAGCAAGAACCAAGCATCTGCACACAAAATGGACCTTATCTAGCATACAGTTGGATGCTACAGGGTTGGCCGTAAACGCATCCAACCGAGAATCGATGCCCCTTAACCACTTGTCACTGTTTACACAGGTTGTTTTTATTGATTTTCGTACATCCGATTCCCCTCATGGGTGGCTGCCCATCTGGTTACACAACCAGTTCCAACTTATAGACTAACAGCCTCAAGACCGGGGTTTTTTGGAAAAGACAGGTTCTCTTGCGTCTATCCCTGTATTCTGCCTACGAAATGGCCTCTAAAGCAAAGTAATGTTAACCGGTAATCGGTTCTGTCCTATCGCTTCAAGGCATTTCATTTCTGCAGTATGATATTACATCACCTCCATTTGAACGATCCTGCACTTAATCAGTGCATGTGCCCGTCTGTATCGGGATTCGAACATCTGATCCGACCAGCGTGCCAAATGCACAAGAATCGATTCCTGGCACGGCGGAGAATACAAGCAGCCGACAAGTCCCAATAACTTCGAAACTCGAGTTTTTTCGTAGGGGTTAGTCGGAATCATCATGGGGGGCGAGAAGGAAGGCTGTCTATTAAACAAGAAAGACGTGGATACAAATTCCATTAATCTCACAGCTGTCCACAACAGATATATCGTTGTTTGGGAGCGCTTTCAATGGTCTTTACAATGCTTTTTGGACCCAGCTGTATTTCTCAAGTGCGAGGGGTGTGGACCGGAATTCTCAATGTGAATTTCACTTGATATTTTCACTGAAGACATATTCAAAAACTATGCTTCGATGGTCCGTCTTGCCTTGTTAGCAGCCCAGCCTCTTTCATCCCATTACGGTAAGCTAAAGACCATGGGAAAAATTTTGTTCCACAGAGAGACGCAGTATCTTCTATTCACCAACCCTTCACTGTCGAATGATTGCCGATTCCGCGATAAATTCAATTATTAACTATTTTCACATAATACCACTTCCGTAGTCTTGGTGTCGAGTAATCGATACATCACACTTTGAGGTGATCAACGTTCTAACCGAACAGTAAAGTGAAGCGCTTACGGAGATCTCCATTCGCATCTCCAAATCATGGTGTTTTAGATGAAAAAATTTCTGAACTAACCATTCATACTTTGATTTGATCGCAGAACCACTTTTTACATTCATTCAATCTTACGTTCTGTAACCTTGCAGGTTGCTAATTTAAGTAAGAAGTATCCAATAGGGTCCAAGGACGAAATGGACAAAAACGCGAAATAAAATGCCGCTGCATTTGTTTTACTTCATCACCTGTTACCATTTAAAACACTATCGAAAACTTTGCGAATCCACGATACCGTGAAAGATATTGATCATCAGAGAAGTTTGTTTAAATCTTTCGTTTTGACAGCCGCAATGTTTATGTAGTCTCTGAAGTGGACCACAGATTGTCTGGTGTGAAGATTTATGTCCACACTGTGTGTGTCGAAATTCTGTCGGTGTGAAGAAAGACAAACAAACACAGAAAGAGAAGCGCCCCAAATTTGCGGCGCATTCAGACACAGTCAAATGCTGAGCATGGACGTATTACACTACTCGAAAGGTTTGTGAAAACTCTTTAACAGCCTTCGACAGATTTCACCCTTCCTAGAGCTCACCAGGTAGGCTCCGTCTCCGAGTTTTTGTCAACTTTATATTCTACTTGAACCCGAATAACCAAAAAATTTGCTAGTACTCTCATCTGCATACCATTTTGGTTTTGACGGGAAACTCACTTGAGACGCATTTGAATCTCTCGTTTATAATTTCCTTAATTTCGTACAGTTTAGGTTCACGCACAGCAAGCTGTTGCTGGCCTGTGTAGTGCCTTTAGGTGTTCTGACACCCAATTAACTAACTTCTTCTAGGTGTTCTGACACCCAATTAACTAACTTATTCTTTTCATGAGGGAAACTACTCAAAAGGTTGCTGAAAACTCTTCGACAGCTCACGACCGGTCTCGTCCTTCAACTCTGGGCTCATCAGGTAGGCGCAGTCCTTTCCGTCAAGTCAACCTTATGTTCTACATGAACCCAAATTGGACTGTTTTTCTTTTCGAGAAATACACTCATTTGCAAATCAATTTGGTTTTCACGAGAGACTCAACTGAATCCCTCGTTTATGATATTCCACAACTGAATGTGCTAACACGACCGCCTCATGATTCAGCTGACACGATATTCTTCTTTGTTCCGTAGGCAATAAAGAAACTGGTGAGCTGGCATGGAGACGGCTAGGAGGCAAAGTAGGTTGTTTGACGTTCATCTTAACATTTGGCGATATACATAGGTCGTCATCCAAGAAAACACGGCTGAGAGCACTGTCTGGTTTAGAACTCAACTGTTCAATAACTATGTCGCTGTCGAACGGTATTCACAGGTACGACACTTCGGGTTTAGCACACTTTTGTGAACTTGCACGCATATTTTCCCCAAAAAGTCAATCAGATTGTCCCCTTATACCGCAGGGGGCTAATAAGACAACTGACTTCTTTCCTGTGCATCAATTTTCGAGATTGTGTCGTACAAACCCCGTACGAGGAGAACACCCCCGCTGAAACAAACCTGGTTAAATTAGTCTAATGAACAACGTAAATGGATTTCGGATAGGCACTTCGCCGCACACTTCGATCACCCCCTCATGTGAAAAGTACGTTTTGGAAATCGAAACTATCCTGTTCTTCCCGTTTTTGGACGTGAACTTTAGGGCTGCTTGTCTGGTTACAGTAATGCTTCAGGTGATGAACCGGAAAAAAGGGGAAGAATTTTTTCACGAACTTAGTCGTTTCCTGCTTGAGTTATGAAGAACGTATAGAAAAAGTCACCTATCTGATGAACCCCAAGAAGGGCGAAACCGATGGTGGGTTGTCGACGAATTTTCAGCAACCTTATGAGTAGTACATTACACATATACATGTGTCGCGATATCTTGAATATCGTAGCGGCTGAGACATGAGGCGGCCTGGTGCGGCACATTCAGTTGCCTGAGAACATCACAAACGAGAGATTCAGCTGGGTTCCAGGTGAGCCTCTCGAAAAACCAAATTAGTCTGCCAATGAGTGTATTTCAATAATTTCGTGCAATTT